TTGAACACTCAGAGAGGTTTAAATTCCAGAAAAATCAGGCATTGCCAAATGTAGTAGACAGGCTGGAAAAATATGAGTAAGTGACTGCAAACATGCTGCATTCTAAATATCGAAAATGTGGTTTTGGCATTGCAATTCGCGAGAACCCAAGTGAAACCAAATAAAAAATCACAGATAAGACCAGCTTAATGATGTCAGTGCTCTCGTGCATAGGCATTTTGGCCTTGGCTGCCACTGAGAATGCTCATCAAAGAAGTCAAAAGGATTTCAAGAAGGGGAAAAATGCAAATAGTTCTACACCCTCTGCCACTCAATATGTTGCTCTGATAGGTTGTTACCGCAGTGTCAAGATTTTTCCAAATACTTAAGCACTCTTCCATTACCAAAATAGAAAATATCTATGACAGATATAAATTCTGGAAGATGTACCCCAGCACAGTTTATTAAAAATAGAATCTAAGAGAAGAGAACCCTATTCCTTGCAGAAGTTAACATTAGGTCCTTTTCCCCGCTTCTTCCTAAGATGCAAAAAAATAAAAAAAGGCAAGGGGCAGATGTTAATTTAATACTTCAGCAGCCCAGCACTGCACTCACTGAGTAACATCAGCTCAGTGGTGCTTCAGCTTACAGTGGTCACAATACACAGCTAATAGTGAGGTACCTGTGGAAAAGTAGAGCAGCCCTATGCAGCAGTCCCACAGAGGCATGGCTGGCTACACAAATGTGTGCAGAAAACCCCTGGAGGATAGCAAATGGAGCACAAACCAGAGTGGGACTTCACAAGAGCAGCTATGAATGCAAACCACATTGTGTTCATGGAAGCACAGTGAGCAACCAAGAGAAATCATTGTCTTTGCTGGCACCTGGGAGGTGACATGTGGAAAAGTGTTTCAGTTTGGACTCCAGTACAGGGAACACAGGGAGGACACAGCTCAGCAGAGAACCACCAAGATAATTCAAGGGCTGTGGTGTATGAGAAGAGACAGAAGCTGATCTCTCTCATGTAGATGGCAGTGGAGCTAAGTGCTGTTTTCAGGTGGGCACAGAGGGTGAAGCCACCTTCTGAAGGCTGCATAGGGAAAGCATGGGAGGCAAAAGTTACAAGTGAAGCAAGGGAAATTCCAACTGGATAAACAGAAAGACACTCTTTGTAGTGAGGGTGGTTAAGACTGGAACAGGTATCCCGGAGTTCTGGATGACTGCAGATGTTCACACATTGCTTCCAACCGAGGTTGTTCTCTGAGTCCATGAAATTCAAGAAGTCTCCTACAGCAAAAGACTGTCTGCCCTGTATGAGGCTGAGCCTCAAAGACACTTGGCCTGTGTGCTTTTTCTCAGGAAGAAAGAGCTGTCTCACTGATTATTCCACACTACTCTTCAGAAGATGGGAAGCTGGCGCCACTGACAGAGAAAAGATCTGTTGAAAGATTGGATCTTATATGATCTTATGTCATGCAGACCCGGAGTGAGCAGACTGTTCACCATGAAGGGGACCACTTCAGCAATTCTGCAGTCAATAGGGCTTGAGAGGGAGAATTTCCCCTTTCCCTCATGGGATCTCTCTGCATGGAGCCTTGCTAGTCAGATTTGGTGTGAAGGGCATAATTTTGCTCTGCTGGGAAAGCTTTATATCTTTCATGTGCATTGAGTGGCTGAGGACAGTCTTACAGCTAATATAGGCAGGCATTCCTTAGAGCAGTACTTAGCTGAAAGCAAGTACGTTTTGGCACAATCTTCACTAAAAAAACCAATCTCTCCTACTCCTCCTTCCCCCACCCTCAGTGGGAATATCTGATTATAGCCTTTTCACTCAAATTCCACACAGCTCCTCTTTCTTGAGGCCTTTCACACAAAAGCAAAGACTCACAAAGAGCAGACAGGCACCATTGTATCCCTGTGTTCCATGGCAACGTTTTAGCACTCTAAGAGTTTGCAGCAAATCCAAATGATGTTTCTGTTCTTTATTAATGATATTTCCCAGCTGTTTCTGGTTGACAAAGAGAGGTCTGGTCCTTCTTTGTTACAGGCTGTGCCCTGGCACTTCAGGGAGGGCTCACACAGAGCTCTGTAACTCAGGCGGCAGCAGCACAGCCCCAGGGAGAGGCTGCAGACACACAGGGCTTGAGCCTGTGGATATCGAGGTGCTGCATATGTGTGTGTTGTGCTCACATAATGGGAACGAAGCACATGTTTAATCATACCTGTGCACAAACTATTTGTCTACAGCAATGAAGCCTAGAAGTACCACAGAGTTCTGCCCTTTCTTTTGTAACAGCAGCTAGTCCTTCACTCTTTCTCTCTTAGGACATATTTTTGTTTTAGGACTTACTTTTCATTCCTTTCAGTGAAGTTTCTGTATCATCTTTCTTCTTCATGCAGTCATTATCTCCTTCTTATCCTGACATGTACATTATGCAAGCATGCTTCACATTCACACAAGCCCTGCTCTGAATATATTACTGTCTTCTCTGCAGTGATTCCACTGGGGGCTGTGGGTTTGTACAAGAACACAGTGCAAGGCCCAGTGCTCACTACTCCCTACCTTAAGGTTTCCTTTGGATCTTTATCCCTGATTTTGGGCTTGAACTTTGAATTCCTAGTAGTAATTGTTCCTAGTAGGAACTTTTTGTAGCAGATTTTATCTGCATTTATTCTGTTTGAGATAAAATCACATGGATACATATAAAATTGCAGGAATGAAAGTATTTGGACTAAAGGCTAAATTCAATATATTATGTTTATTTTAAACTTATCAGAGCTGCTTTATCGTCTTCCATTTAAAAGGGGCAATGTCAGAGTCATAAACCAAATGCATATTTAAAAGCATTACTGGGCTGGACAGCCCTAATGCTTTCCTGCAGTCTCACAGATCCATTGGCTTTGGTTTATGTTCAAAAGATGAGACAAGAGAGAGGAAGTAAAGGAAGAGTCCTACTGAAATCCAGAACCACTGTTACCTCAGAAATGTGCTGCCATTTGGCTCAAACTGTTGTTTGGATGTAGATTTTTTACTGAGTTTATAATTTCAGTCTTAGGGGTGCTCTCTGCCATAGATGGGTATGAAAAGAAACAAGATCAAGGGTCGTAGGTATGTTAATACAGATAAAGACAGGGGAAAATATAAGTGATGTAACTGTCCAAGCTGTGAACTTCAAGAAGTGAGGAGGTGCCATTTCTAGAGGAAAGCAAAATTTCAGAAAGAAAAGTGAGATTAAACTTTTCTTCTCCAATAAATGGGACACATGGCACAATGCCTCCTGTAGTTACAGATTTGGGTCTGAAACTGAAGGCATCCTTTTTTCTGAGCCCAGAGATGTTCAGTGGATTTTTTTTTGACATGAAGATGAAACCACCACATTGAGAGTTTATACTCCTTTGTATTTCAGCACAGAAGATAATCATACTTTGATTATGGAGTCTAAATTTTCCTGGCACTTGGAGCCACCATGGCGTGCAGAACTTTTAATACCACAGTGCCTCTGGTGCATTATGCTTACTAAACTTGATTATTAGAAATCTAGGATATCAAGATAGATATGATGACATATCCATAAAGAATAGTTTTAAAATCATTGAACTCAAAGTTATAGGTCATTAATGTATTTTACTATTATTAAAATGACATTAAGGGAGAAAGTTCCATCACATAATAATGCCAGTAAGGACTTTATACCGTGATGCAGTACATACATCTTTACTATTAAGAAAGGGAAAGACACATTAAAAAATTAACTGCTTCTATAATTTGACACTGCTGTCAATAGGTACAGAACCTTAACCAGTTTTAAATTCAAGCACCCTCAAAATACCCGAGGTTTTTCCACATACCTTTCCATATCATACAGAGATTAAATGCTACATTTCAGAATTCTACAGCCCAGGCCCTCAAATAAGGCCTACAAATTATATTGTGCTCCCTAGTCTAAAGCCTGAACACCAGAGAGTTTTGTGACTTTTTGCCAATTTCACTCTGCACAATACCAGCAAGATCAAGGCCTCTCAGCCAGACTCACTTCCATGCAGCACTGCTCCATCCCCTCCCCAGACTGAGGTAGCTCAGCTATCTCTGCAAGTGCCCAGCACAGAAATGCCAGAGGGTCAGTGATGCTCAGGCTAAACTGGGAGCAGGCACAAAGACCCTCTCACTGCAGAGTCCAGCTCTGCTCATTTGTTTCCAACTCCATCAGGAATTTTCCCAGAATGTGAGAGTCTGAGTGATATTCATAAATATTATTAAAAACTTGAAATTTTAAGGTCCAAAAGGATTTTGAAATGTTTTGTTTAATTTTGAGTGAGTTAATCACACAGACAAACAGAATTTTCACACCATGTCAGCCTGGAAATATATAAGCCATTTTTGAGTAGCAAATATTTTCTTTGGTTAGGCAAATTTTGACACAGAACTAGAAATTTTTCCCTAAGCAGGTCTGGAAATAAAATAGGATATTTTGCCACTGCTTTTTTCCTTCCTCTTTTTCTGTAGAAGTCGTTTAGTCACACCCAGGCTCAATTCACACATAGCTCCAGAGTGAGGCTTTTCATGTGATCTTCAACTACAAATTTCACTTAGCCTTTGAAATGACTCCAGTTATTTTACATACATGCCAGGAGGTATCTATTCCTACCGCCTCTGAGATTCAAAGTCCTTCCTTTACTGTTAGAGATCTGCCCCTTTCTAGAAGAAATTCCAGTTAGAAGCATGGAATTTCAATTGAGAGAATGGTCTTATTTCTCAGGACAGATAGTTAAAGCTGTGTTCATGCTTACACCAATCACAGACCAAAAATGAAGGACAAAATTTTCTCAATGGCTGGGACAGTTCTTGGCTATCCATGGGTTTTGCCTTTTCCATCTCAGCATTCCTTGAGGAGGAATTACTATATCTGATACACCAGTTGCTAAGTATATTGACCATGCAGGGTCTGCAATTCTTTTTACAGTTTAGTTTTTAATTGAAAGAAACACCAAGCATGTGATAATGGCAGAAGGCACTCACTTACCCTATGACAATGCAGGAGATGGCAGTTCCCAAAAAGGCGTAGGCTAAAATTGATCCTAAGTTACGAAAAAAATGTCTCTGGGGAGGAAAGTTTGAAAGAAAGTTCTTTGTTATATAGTAAATAAAAAAGCATTCAGACCAAATAGAAACATATCTAGAAGTGCCATTTGTTACAACATATATAGGAGATGGAGCAATATTGGCTAGTTCAGTTATTTTGGAAAATACAACTTAAAAGTGTTTAAATTTTTTCCCGTGGTGGAATGCCATCAAAGTTCCCTCTTTTTTATGTATCTGCCCAAATGTTTCAGGGTCATAGCAGAAGTTCACATTAGAAGTACCTGATGCAAATGGCATCATAGCCTTGTCCCTTGAACAAAGTCCTAATCAGGCAGGATGATCTTGCCTGCACCTCACAGCATTCAAAGTGGTCTCTGAAAACAGGGAGCCCTAAGTGTTATAAACTGCACACCCAGATCTGTGCACAGGGACAGAAGGAGAGCAGAATGAGGGCCCTGAATCATTCATTTTAATCCATTCCTGCCAAGTCCTTCGCAGGCAATAAAATTGTTAGCTGACTCTGTCCTCTGGCCTCTGTCCTCTGGCCTCTGGCCTCTGGCCTCTGGCCTGTTGGGTCTACAGAACAGCAGCCACACTCAGTCCCTTTTGTCACGTAAGGAAAAGAACACATACCTTCTTCAAACTATATCCAGCATGAAATATAATGGGTGGCAGCAAAATGTTGAAGAAGATGGAAGGATCAAAGGTCATCTGCTAGGAAGGACAAAAGAGAGGGTAAGGACAAATAAAGTAGCATTTAATTTGATATTACAGTTTAAAATTTTATCTTCATATCAGGACTGATCTCAGGCTCACCTCCACTGTTTGCAGGATTATTCTGAGTTGGTTTTTTGCGAGTATAAATGTGTAGTTCCTTACAGCTTGTAGATGCAGATTACTATTCGAAAAGTATTCCTTCAAGAAGGAAATCAATCAGGTGCTACATTACAGGGAACACATAAAACAGCTTTACCTGTGACAACAGCTGCCCTACCAGACATCCAACTTGACATAACTCCTGGATCAGACATGGATCTCCTGCTCACTTTCAGGAAAGACACATCAGCAGTGTTGTGCCTCAATTCTGCATGTACAGAAGGGTGATAAAAGGCCTATACCACCAAAACCAATGTAACATTTCCTTTGAAGGAAATGATTTATAAAACATCCATTAAAAGAGAGGATTTTAGAATGAGGAAGTGCATTGATCATATTGGCCTTCAACTTCTGGCACAGAGGAAGACCAAGGACATTGCTCAGCCCTTGCAATTCATTACAAATAGCTTTCAGTGGAATAGAATTCTCTTTAAAATTACAGCATTGCTGAAGACAAAAAAAATCAACTTAAATAAGCCAGTGTACTGCTTTGTGTTCTGTCAGTGGGTTATATTATATTATATTATGTTATGATATGATATGATATGATATGATATGATATGATATTATATTATATTATATTATATTATATTATATTATATTATATTATATTATATTATATTATATTATATTATATNTTATATTATATTATATTATATTATATTATATTATATTATATTATATTATATTATATTATATTATATTATATTATATTATATTATATTATATTATTTTAAGAGAGAGTAGGTAATTAGTGCAAAGGATTGCAGCTCCTTTGTTCAGATGAAGTGATACTTTAAGGCTACAGTATTCTAGACTATTTTCCTTCAAAAGAGTAAGACCTGCTACAAAATTACTTCTGCTGTCTTACTAACAGACAGCTTGATTCAATAAACAGGAAGTGAGAGCTGAGACTTTTTTCCATGCTGCTCACTTTGAGTTATAAAGCTAAAAAAATCTAGCTAAATAGCCTGCCAGCAACCTTAACTGTGCTGGCATCATCTTTGAAAACCTGATGGAAAAAGGATTTTCTTCATTTATGAGTTAACATTCTCAAATGTTAATTTTGGAATTCATTCAGCAGATATGTTAAAATATTTTTTCCGTGGGCATCAGAAATCCTGACTGCATTGTTTTATTATTCAAAATCATGTTCTGAAGAATACATGTTTGTAAGTCATGGCACAATCTATTCTCTCTGATAAAAGGCAATAAGCAAATGCTTTTAGTGCAGTCAAAAGGGAATTGAATTACAGTAGTACAAAACCCAGAGCGTGGTGTGATCATGCTTTCTGTTTTTTACATTAGTGCTTTTGCCAGCCAGGAAGGCTGCCAGGCATTGTTATTGTCTCCTAAATACAGCTAAATTCATCCTCCTTTCCTTTTTCATTTATTTTCTTTTCAAGAGGGCATCTGCCAGGTAATTTTAAAGGAAAAACAAGTGAAAATTCAGGCAGACTGAGGTCTCTCTAATAATTTAGAGGAACTACAATTCACAGCTGAGACTTTCAAGAGTTTTCCAGCAAAGTGAGACTATGGAATCATGATCAGGCAGTTTCCTGTAAGGGCAAGAGAAATTTCTGTGCAAGTCATTGCTCCTCCTTTCTCCTAAGTCAGCTTCAGTGCCAGGTCTGATGAAGATGATCAAATGTAATGGATTAGTACATATGCCCTGGAAACTAAACACTTTGACTAAGACAAAGCTGCAACTGCAACCAACGAGCAGGAAAAAGGATGGAGATTCAGCAAAACCTGATTAGTCTGACTGCCACAGTGTTTTCCTGTCTCCACCCACCACAACTCTAATGGTCCTTGACAGTCTGGTTCTTTCTGAGAAGGGCAAGTCTGGCAGTAACAGCAGAAAGGCACACAATGGTGCTGCATCAGCAAGAAATTTGAGCAGATGGTTAAATCCTAATTCTGCTGAGCTCTCCAGTCTACATTCTAAACATAACTTAAAAGCTTTCCTAACGATAACTTCTATAATACACAGGATCATGCATTACTGTGCTAGACAAACAATAATACTTGGAAAAAAGCAAAATAATACATTGCATTATTGTAAAAAGCCATTGATAAGGGCTTAGGAGCTTAATGTGAATATACAATGTCTTTGAGCAAAAAATCCAGGTTTTAAAAAGTGCCTCTGAACTCCAGTGTTCTTCAAATGGGTGCCATTTTAAAAAGAAGTGAACATTATTAGAAGCAAATATTACATGGGCAGGGAAAGACTACATTAACAAATTAAAATATTTTGTTATATACTAGAAAAAAGAAAAGACCATGACATTGTGAAAGACTGCAAATTTTCTCCCACATTTCCCTTTCTGCATCCAGCATGAATTGCCCCAATGCTCTCTCCCCATGTGAGTGAGGTCCCTCCTGAGGACCACTGCAGGAGTGGAAGAATGATGAGAATGCTGTGATGAATTTAAGTGTGCATCAGTTGCATATTTACAAGTTTGAGTTTTGTAAAATGTTTAGACTTTGCAGTTTCCTGTGTTATCCCGTGTTAAGGGGTAACCTCCCCTTGCATTATCCTGCAGAGCAAGGAACTTTGAAGGCATAGGAAAAATAAAGATATCAGTGGCGTTTATAAAGGTTTAGTGGCAATAAATCCGAGTTAACAGCTGTGTCTGCAGTGAACTCAGTGTCTGCAGGAGCTGGGACTGTCATTTGAAACAGCTCAGGCCATTCCCTGAGTGCACAGTCAGCTTGGAGCTAAATGATGGTCAGGGTTCCACCACACTTCCTTTCCTTTACTGTTCTTTTTCCTCACCTACCTTGCCCACCCTAAATTCACAATACACTCTCTGTCTCATTTTAACTTGAAGCTTGTTTTCCTCTCTCAAGCATGAAAAGAAAAAAAATATGTTACAATATCTTAGTTTAGAGCAAAAATAAGATAGGTTTTACCTTTTGAAGCATTGCATTGCCCTGGTGACCATTGACATTGTGGTGGCTGATCTCTCTTTTGTATTGATATTCGTAGACCTGATTAGTTATATTAATAAGCAGAGTGGATGGCCCAGATTTCAGCTTTTCACATTCATAAACAGTCCCACTTTCAACATCTGATGATTTTGTCACATATCGTATAATTAATCCCATTACAAGGCCTGGAGAGTAACGAAAACAAAGAAAAATTAAAGATATTCAAGTTCTTTTAAGTATTCGATGCTGTACATTTAGAGAAAAATTAGCACTGCCAAAGCTAGAACACCTTCTAAGTGTTTCTACATTTACAGAACCTCTCTCAAAACTTCATGGATGACCACAAAATATTCTTCCAATATGGTCATTTCATTAGAATGCAGATGTTGGTTTGTTGATTTTTGTTATCCAGTTGCTGGCATAATAATTAACCGAGTTTGTCATTTACTGCATTTTCAATAGTTATTTAGAGCAGGGAGATGTCTGCACAACCCATGTGCTGAACATGAGCATATAAAGATCATGAGCAAATAAAAATCAGCTGTGCTGTTGGGTATTTTACACTTCATTTGTGAGAACAAAACTCTGACACAACCTCAGATACATACTCCTTTCTGTAGAAGACTGCATTTTTGAGACTGTATAAACATGGAAAAAGAAAATCCGGAAGAAGGGAAGGAATAATAAGACTACAATTTAGGGCTCTTACCCAAGACAGATATTTTGTGTCCCTTTACATTTTACAGAAAGGAAAATGTACTTCTGCAGCCATTCTCTGGACAGTATGGCTCTTTCTGTTGGCTCCTGTGGGAGGCTGCATGTTTACTATAGGAGAGATAATATTTAGCTAGATAACATTACTGAGATTATTTCCACCCTCAGAGACTTCGATTTGGTTTCAAATTTAATTTCCATGCTTCTTTTATGTCCTGTATGCTTTAAGTCCCATGCACAGAATGAACACCTTTACAGTTACTAATTATTAACACATTCATAAAATGCTAAAAATGCTCAGATGAAATATTGGTGGAAGACACATAAACATCTAGATAGATATACTTACTATTGAAAGATAAGAAAGAAATTAAATTACATGAGCTATCAGAGAAGCAGCTGCAAAATATGATGTTACAGTTGGATCCCATAATCAGAAGGGGGTACAAGTGATCACAAGGACCTCGAGAATCCTTGTTATTGCCACATCTTCTCCTAACAGAGACCCTCAGAACTGCACATTCCTGGCATGCTGTGAGGCGTTTGTAGCTTCTGGGAGTGAAGCTGAGTAACAGCTGGATTGTCTGTTTTGTTGTGTGCATGTATTTGTACTTGTTTAGAATCTACTGTTTAGTATGGTTACTTTCTGTAAATGATAGAGGATTTCAATAAGCTGTAGAAAATCCAAAGACCTCTTTCTTAAGTTACACAGCATTTCTGCAATAAATCAGATAATAAATCTAGCTGTACTAAAAGACAGAATTCCTCAAAATGTTAGGGGAAACTATGTACATGTAAAGGGAAGCAAGCACTGCATGTGCAACTCTGAAATACAACTTCTGCAGTGGTCAGTCCAGATGTCCAAAATCATGAGTCAGAAACCAGGAAACCATTCATTAGTTAAAACTGTCAGAGTTTTCAGCTTACTTTTATTAGGTTTCCTCTAGAAGAATCACATATTTAATTTTTAAATTCAATTTCAAATACATTAAAAATTCAAATTAATTTGATGCTTGAATAGGACTTGATATTTTTCATTCTCAGGAGCAGAAAACTTACAGATTTTCCTTTACCATTTTTGTCATTATGATTCAATTTTTCAAACTACAACCTTTGATACACTTCTATTACCAAGTATTACTTAATCTGCTCAGGTAACAGAAATATTTTGTAGACATTCAGCAAGGCCCGTGCAAGGACATTGGCAGAAAAGGATTATTCAAAAAGTGTTTTAAGCATATTTATTTAAATCCAGCATTGAAACAGAAAAGGGTGTCACTAATGTTACAGATTTCTTTAAAAAGTCTCAACTGTCCTTTGAAGTCAGATCTTGCAGCAAAATCTCACTCTAACTACAGCTCAGTCATGTTTCAACTGAAGGCAATGCAGGTTTTCCAGGTTCTTCAGTGGAAGCAGGATAAAATTGTTAATCATAGATGTGACCATTGGAGGGATTTTTAAGTCATTGTGCCAAACTTCTGAGCTGAACAGGAATATTCTTTCCCCAGGATTTCATCTAGTTAGCTGTTAAGAGCTTTCTGTAGTAATAGCACTCAGGGATGCAGCTTTTAGTCATTAATTGATTTTTTCAAATATTTAAGATTTTCTTTCAAATTTCTTTGTCTCAAGAATGATGTTCCTCTCTTCACCTCACCACTACAAAATGTCAGTTTCTGCCTTAATTGTGATTTTCCCACATTTGTGGTACTGTCTTCTGAGTCCCAACAACCCTTCTTCATTGTGAATGTTGTAATCAGGAAGACAATGAAATACTCTGTTTTATTGAGGTTCAGAGATTCCTCTTTCTGGGACCTGTTTCTGGCACCAGTTTCTGCCTGTGACAAATAGGGATACTCAGAGCACACCAGCAGAAGGCAATTATTTCACACAAGAGGCATACTGGATTTATAAGGTGGAATCGTAGTGTTCATCACTGGACACCTCCACCAAGGCTGAATCCTGAACTGAGTGTGCCTCACTCCAGACACACTGAATGGGAGGCTCAGAAGGGCTGCAAAGGGCTACTGTGGGTCAGCTTTCCCTCTGCACACCTGCCAAAACCTGTCCCCTCAAAACCTGCTGGAAAACCTCTAAGCACTGCAACCCAAAGCCATTTTATATCAGCACCACAATGGCTCTCCTGTCATTCAGCCTTTTCATGTTTTCCTTCCAGCCTGACCAACTGATCCCATGGAGCACAATGTTGAAGGCTGGTACATCTGCAACCAGCCTCACCTCCACCTAGGGGGTCACAGTTACTCAGCTGAGAACAATTTCAATTTAAATTTGGTAATTAACTTCCCATATAAAAGGCACAGCTTGGCTTGCTGCTGGTTTGGGTTTTTTTGTTGGAGTTTAATTCTGGCTGCCTACTTGCAAGAGTGTTGTAGCCTCTTCCTCAGAGCTGAGGGGTGGTACCTCTATGTGATCCTGATACCTGAGCTCTGGGGAGAATGAGGAATTTGGATATTTGCACTCAGTTTGCACTGTGTAGCTCTGGGCTATTGCTGCACTGTGAAGGGCCATGGCTGACACCTTACATGGGGAATTTGGTACCTCATGGCTGGGGTGTTTAAGGATATCTGGCCTTGCAGGAGGTGGCTACAGGCACTTTGGTTTTATTGGCTCGTTGTGTGCTCCCCAGCACTAAGAGGTCACTGCTCTGATCCCAGGCACGTGGCTTTGCTCTCATCAGTGCTGGTGTATATCATCTCCCACACTATTCCTGAGTGTGCTCCTGTTTAGGAAACTCTATTTCCACCTGTCTCCCTGGTGAACAGAAATCAGGAATTGAGTTTACTATTTGTGGTCTTGTTATCAAACCCAGCTACAATGTGTAGTGAAACTTGCTCTCTGAGACTTGGAAAACCAAGGAATGAATGAACAGGTAAGTCTGTATTCTTCCTCGTTGTTTGTGAGTGATTTTTCAGTTTGGTCTCAAAACAATTTGAGTCTTTAAATACTTTGAAGCTAAATGCCTTGAGATATATATATGTATACTTTGTGAAATAATGTTGAATTAATTCTGCATTGTTTGAAATGCTTTTGTTGTTTTTTTTTTACTTTGTAGAAAGGTTTTAAAATTAAATATAGATATACTTATTGTTGAACCATTGCTTTGATAATAAAAAAATGCACCTCAGTTATTGAAGTTTTTAAATGGACAGTTGGTTGCTTTTTTTTCTTAGCTGGAAGTATTCAGCCTAAAACTGAATTTTCCTACAGAACCTATGCAAAAAAAAATAAAGAAAAAAAGGCACCCACTCTTTCATTTGTTCTCTGCTTTAAATAGAACTTTCTATCAGGCTGTGTTCAATTTGTGCCTGTTCAGCACTTTGTAGTTACTGTAAAACTTCCTGGTTTTGTCTTTCTATGTTTGTTTTTTTTCCCCTTGGTGTTCCTCATACTTTGTCTTCCCTGTCCTCTCCACTGCTACTCCCCTAAGGGCACAGTTGAGGAATAAGGACCCACCTGTCATCCTGTGGGACACACTCTGCAATAAGTGCCCATAGCCCATCACTTGAAGCCAAATTATCAGTTCATTGTATGGCTATCCACATACCTAATAAATACCTCAATGGGCTGGAGCAAAGCAAACTATAAGGACTGGAACCTCTTTTTCTGCAGAAAAGGTAGAAATCAATTGTTTGGAAAGGTGAAATTAAGTGAGGGCAGGACTTGTCCCAGTGTCAGTGCTTGGTGCCATGAAGATTTTCTCCCAAAGTTGCTACCTGTTGATCTGACAACCTCTCTTATGACCTCTGAAATTTCACTTTCTTTTCAATATTGCCATTTCATGGTGTTAAAGATAACTATACCCATATCCAAAATTTTGAAGGATAAGAAGGACATCACTACATTTTTGGATCCTACAGATAAGCTTTTTTCCCTGTTTGAAGATTGCCATAAATAATGCAAGACTAAAGAGTTAGTTTATTTACAATCATGAGGAATGTTTTAATAATTCAAAAGCTCTGACCTGCTGGAGCACTGATCTCTTAACCAATCAAAAGAATATGAGTAGCTTATCCTCATGATGTGCACAGTATGTTCTGAGCAGGCAGCAAAACAGCACCAAATGACAAGTAAAACTCTAATTCCATACATACTTATTTTTGTTCTGTTGTATTCTCCCATCTTTCATTTGTTTGGACTGGCTTTGCCTAATCTTCAGAAAAGCCATCAGCTGCACACAGCAAACAGCACAATAGTGAGAAGGAAGCTACTGCAGTAGAGGCACCCATCTTAACAAAATCACTTTTGGGTATTACACTGCTGGAGGATGTGGTGTGCACAGAATGTGTCAGAAAAGGCTGTCACTCGGATAATGACTGAGCTGTTGATTTCTATCTTCCATTTTGACAGTTTGCCCTCCTGTATGTATCTAATGGCAGCAGAGTTTCAGTGAAACAGCACCGAGAGAATGACAAGAGAAATCATTACATGTCTAAGTGTGTGCCATTAAACCAGAGAGCACTTAGGGGACAATGGGGAAAGTTCTGCGTGAGAGTGAAATGCAACATGGCAAAGCTTCATAAGAGATTAGAACTCGACAGGCAAACTAAAGTTCCCTACAATGACAGCATTGAGAGCAAACTTGAGACACGTTGTTCAGCTTGTTTTCCAAAGGCACAGAGCAAAGCCAAAAGAAAGCTCTCAAGATCATTTAAACTTTATTAGACAACATATCTGTAGCCACAAGGCTCCTTCAACTAACAGCTTTGAATGTTATAAAAACCCAAGCAAACTGTTTTTGTAAACAGTAAACTCCCCAGTAAACTCTGCTGTCTGACCACAGAGGAGCAGAATGCACATGCTGAGCATAACCAGCTCCTCACAGTTGCCCCCATCAAGGTGGCCTTTGGCTACTTCAGGCAGATGCTGTCAAATCATTATTTTACTGTACACTTATGGAGCTGATGACATTTAATTCAGCACATTTCTGAGCTTTGTGAGCACTTGATCTCAAGTGCCTGAGCATAAATATGCAACTAGTCTGATGTTATGCTAGCACTTGAATTTATACTCACCATAAAGCATAGCTCCTCCAGTTTCATGCAGAAAGCGGAATCGATGGTTTTTAAACAACCAAATTGTTAATATTGTAAGAATGAGTAGAAAGTTAAAAATTAGCAGCTCCACAGCTCCCTGATGATAAAAGTGATCTTCATCTTCTCCATTTCTTTTCCTTTATAGAAAGTATGTGAAAAATAAAAGAATAATAAAAAAAACAACACAGGAAGGAACGTGTTGCCACCTTTAGTACAAAAACTCCGGACACTACAGAAATTCACAGCAAGCACATCTGTTTCATTTGCAGCCTCATGGTGAAGTGCCCCAGCTCAGAATTCAGCTGGATTCTAGTTACAGCTTCCTGTTTCTCTCTTAAAGCCGCCCTGTCTCATTTTTAATGTTATGATTGTGTCACTGGACTGTGCTTGCTCTGGCTGTGGATTCACAAATTGCCTCCAAGGCTCAGACTCTCCATTTCTAAAATTCTGTTGTAAAATTCAGGGTGTGTTTGTAATGTTTTCTTCCTGTAGTTTACAGCCTAATCTGAATCCTAGGAGTCCTATTTTGTCTTCACAGTTTAAGATGGAATAACAAACTTTACTACATTTTGGAAATTTAAGAACCTTTCTACTTTCCCATGTTTAAATGTAAATCACATAGAATAAAAGTGGCACTTTACCATACTGCAAAGACAGAAGAAAACAAAGCAATGGATAAGGATTTCAATATGTAGGTGCTTGTATTGATCCTGCCAGAAGACAAATCTCTGTAAAAGCAAGGGTCCAATTACCTGGAATTAGAAGTACTTAAACCCTCCTATTGAACTGAATAAAATGCAGTGGAATATACTTTTCATAATTTCTGCTGTTTGCACATTTTGATGTATTCAATTCATTATCACATTGAGCCAGAAAAACAGTAGAAAAACTCTGTATAGCAAATACTCCTGGACTTTTCTGTCTATGCTCAAGGCTACAATGCATTTACATACAGAGAATTTCATAAAAGCTGTAATCTTCATCAGAAAAAACCAGCAATTCTACTTCTCATTATAAAAGATAATCTCATTATTTGATGCTAAAAATCTCATAACTATGTCTTTTGTTAAAATCCATTTTGGAGCAAACTAATCTGTAGAAAATCCATTCCAAGTCAGGCAGGTGTCAAAGGTGAATAACCCAGCAATACCCAGCTGTCCATACTCTCAGTAATTTTGAGGCTGTAGCTCATAACAGAGAGTGTTCCTGGGGAGGCACTGTTTCTTCAATCAATCTTAGTATTTAATTTTCAGTAATCAATCAGTTCTGTCCTCTGCATAAACAAATTTCATCCCCTTTAGAGGTTTCTCCTTTTTCTTTCACTTTGTAAGAAAATTATTTTCCTTCTAGTTCTTTTTAAATTTTGCTTACCAGATATTCTTCAAATTCTGTCAGTGGTTTCACTTTGTCCTCTACATGTTTCACTATTTTCTCTCCTTTGTTTCCCTCATTTTCTCTTTCTTTTTGTAGGTTTACCTTATAATTTTCAAGCACAGTCAGGGTTGTTTAAGACAAAAATGTATTTCTGAACTAATTTTCAAGGGACCTCTGTGAGATGCAAAGTTGGCAGAAACCACCTGACACCTCCCAAACTCCCAAATTGTGCAACTCAATTTTAAGCAAGGGTAACGATGCTAACTGGTATTTTTTGAGAATTATTCAATACTGTATTTTGAATTGAAAATAATGATAGGGAAATGGGTTTAGCAGTTTCATTATACAACTAATGCAACTGTTCAAAAAAAAGTTAGTCACATAGCCAAGGCTATTAACTTTCATAGAGGAGAAAAATAAAGGCTTGATTTGGTTTTAATATTCACAGTTAGGAAATGACAATATTGACAATTAGGAAGTGACCTCAAGTTTGTGAGTCTGATCATCCATCTCCCATGTGCAAATATCAAAAGCAAGCAAAAAAATAAATTGAAAATAATCACATTTATTTTCTTTTGCAATAAACCCCAAAGATTTGTTTTTTATGAAAGCTAGTTCTTTCCCACCTTGTGAAATAAGTAATTTGCAGCACTTATAATGAAATCAATGGCGAGGCAGCCCAAAACAGTGAAAGAAGGTAATTTTATTCTGAAAGTCTCAGTGACTGGACTATTCACTTCAGATTTGGGGGCCAGGCTCAGGTTTTTATGTGAATTTACCTGAACTCATATGTTTCACCAAATAACAAGAAGTTCTTTAGTCTTACTGCTAGAGCAGGTGTGGTATGAAATATTTGAAATACACAAGTGTGAATTTCCAAAGCTGCCTTTTCTCTTTTGCAAAACAGGGTTATGATTCTGCTGTATCTCACAAGATAATGTGATATATGTTTGTGAAGCAATCACATGGTACAACAATTTGCACCAGACCAAAGCTTTAATGAAAACAGAATTTCAGGTTCTGTATCAGGCTTGCAGGTGTTGGACTTGGGGCTTAAATTCTCCCAAAGCTCCTTATATAATTTTGGGAAGGTCTGGTTCTAAACAGCACTGACCATGTTACAGGATTGGGGTTTCAGGTGCTGCTTTCCTCTCAGAGGTGTAAGACAGTTTCAAAGCAGATTTCCAGACCTAGCCACTCCTCATAGTTGCAGCTTCTGAGGAATCCAGAAATGACATCGAAAAACTGTTGTTTTTCTTTACATTCTCAACCATTGTATTAATTATTACTATACACTATCTGAAATATGCCAAAGATAAGATGATTAAAGCAGAATAACTGTTGCAAGATTTGTTTGTAAGTGGTAATATTATGCATGCATTGTTGGGGGAAATATATTCGAATTAAGTGGTGCAGGGCCTTAAGAATTCTTTTTGTATCTAATAATCTGGTGTCATTTGGCACCTATAGGCTACTTAGAGGGATGCCTCAAATGTCCAGAGTTACACATGGAGAAGAGCTAATGTGTAAACTGTGAGTAATGGAAGAGCCTGTATGAAATATTTCTGTCCTGTGAGTTTTGTTACACCTTGTCCCACTGGTATGGCTGTATTATTGTTCTCTGTGTGCCATGTGATTTTATTAGAGGTACACAGAGCCAGAAACCTCTTGAGCCAAATTAAGCCAAATCACCTCTCCAGCGTTTCTTTAGCCGATTTTTGTTATGTATAATTTTGTAAAGAAGGATGAGTCTGAATAGATTAGGAGAAGCTTTACTGAGAAAATAGAGCTACCCATAGAAAATGTACAGAAAACCAGTATGGACTCAGAAAACCTTATCTGGGTTTGACATATATATATTATATATATATATTTTATATATATATATATATATATATATATATATATATAAAATATCATAAGGTCTCACTTGAAAAACTGTTGGCAATACTACCAATTAATCTGATATTTTTTGTGCTCAGGTCTTTCCACATTATTTCAGGTAAACCTATTTTTAGGGGTATCCAGGCTCTTCAACAATTTCCCCTCCTAAAAATGGATTAACTTCTCTCCAAGTTTTGGTTGGTTTGCAGGTTAAATAGGAAAGCAATCTGTTGCAACAGCTGCATCATATTTCCAGTATTGATAACAGATGATATATTAAGAAGGAAGCGAACTTAATAAAATAGAAAGGTACATTTTGGCTTTATGAACAAGCTACCAGGTGAATGAAGAAAGTTTTCATGGGGAAGATGTTTTGAATATTGCTTAACAGGTGAAAGAGACAAAACAGGTGAAAGTTTTTGTGGAAGGCAGTATGTCAAGTAATTATCATAATACTGTGTTCTTACTACAAATAGCATTTGCTTCATCTCCTCTGACACGTAATTTTAATGAACAAGAGGTAGTAGCCTTACTTATTTTGTGTGTCCACCTTATCAACTCTATGGATGTCACAGAACAATAATCCTGAGCTTGGCAGATGTAGAAGTTTGCACTAATAGAAACTATCAAGATGTAATAGAAAGCAAGAGAAGTCAGTAGAGGGATTCTCACCTTGGAAGATAAGAAGTCAGAAAAGGAGCATAATGTAAAAACTGTAATAAATTATAGTTAGTGGGAATTCCAAGATACTATGCTTTAGCACTACTGGCAATTCTGCAAGCCTAGGAAAAAGACAAGAGTAAAAGCAAACATTGAAAACAAGTGCATCTATATATATAATTAAAAGACCAAACCAAACCAACTCTGAAACTGAGAAATCAACCATTTTGTGAGTACACAGATAAAAAACTGTTCTGTCACAGCTCGCTTGCCTAAAATCCCCAGACAGACTGGAACTGGATTAGTGGGATCACAAGTGGTTATCCTTCTCTAATCCATTCCAGCCAAGAAGATCTGCCTTGCTAGCTCCTGCTCTGATACACAACTGCCCAGGAAATACTGTGGGCTAAGGCCACTTAAGGCCACTAAGCCCACAGTGGTGGGCTAAGTATCATTTATAACTGCCAGGCCTCTGTGCATTTTAAAATCTCTTCTTCTACTGCTTAGAATAGTCTTCATATGAAACCAACTTATTTGCTGCTTGCTATTGATCTTGTTCTCTCTTTTTTTGTTTTTTTTTTTGAGGTCAGACTCTGGTTTTTCGTATTTGATATTGCTGGTATTCAATCTACATGGGTCACAGAGCCTCTAGAGACAGAAATAAATCCACATAATCTATAAATCTTTATGTTACAGCTATTACACTTAGCTGAAAAATAGCTTTAAAAATAATTTCTTCTTACTGGAATACAGCTTTCTATCCAGAAGGTAAAATCTGTTTTGTTTTTTTTCCCCCTCCTTGGTTCAGAGCCTGTTTTACTGACTTATTAAAATACTGTACTAATTATGATTAATATACATTGAATTGAGTGGATCTGGACTTTTAATCTCCCAAGACTTGTGATCCTTCTGCCCATATGTCACTATCTAGAGGCATTGTATCAACACAGGAAAATCCTTTCTCCCTTTAGAGCATGAATAAATTTGATGCACCCTGTGATGTAACAACCAGCTCATCATGCTGGAATCTTCCTTCAGAGACCAAAGTCAGTGTAGACAGACCTGAAATGCTCCTGTGTGCTTTTCTCACTGAGAAGATAGAAATGCCAGCATGTCTGAAGAAATAAAAACTTTGAAATACAGGAAGCACTTTGCTTCTATGAGTTGCTACAGGATAGTTAATCTGTTCCAGTTTAGATAGTTTTAGCTAACAGGTTCAGAACTAAACAAATTCTTACAAAATTGTGAAAAACTGATATTACCTGTTTATACAGTTTAAATTAATCCACACAGTTGAATGTCAAGGTTATGAAGGAAGTATTTCCAAGTTTACTTCTGTGGGTTAAATGCTCATTTTCAGCTTGAACTGCTGCCCTGTGGTATT